GTAAGTCTATATATAATCCATCCCCAATAGTCAAATGTTCCCCTACAGGTCTTTCCTCCTCAGTATGGTGAGAAATCACTGAATGATGTTAATGCCCTCGTTATCTGAAACACAGAGTACCTTCAACAGCTTGAAAGGAATCTCACTGCTTTTCCAAAAAGCTTTCTCTGAGCTGTTTCCCGAAAAAAGATCCCCACAGAAAATCGATTAAATAAATCACTTTTTAGCCACACCTGTTTAAAACTGATTGACGGCAGATCATGTTCAATTAGAGACACAGGTTTCATTTGCACACACATCAGTAACTGTGACATATGGAGACAACTAAATCAAGTAAAACTGCTCCCTGCTCCTTGCACGTACCAGTCGACTTTTAGAAAACAAAACTGACAGAGGGATTTTCTAATTAGTACCGGATGACACACCAGTAAGTGGTAGCTGTAAACCGGGTTTTCCTCAGGTTGCCCATCTATCTGCAAGCGACGCTCGTTTCGAAAAAGAAAAGATAATTTTTTACCAAAAGGAGTCGCACGGGGCTGGAAATACAGGCACTGCAGTTACATAAACCGGTGCTAAAAATAAACTTGAGAGGCGCGGTGGGCACGGTGGGGCAGGGGCTGGGGGCGGCAGCGCTGCCCGCCGGGGCCGGGCCCCGGGCCGCAGTCCCGGCAGCGCGGAGGGTCCCTGCCCGCCGGGCCCGGCCCGCAGCCGCCCGCCGGCGGCACCGCTCCGGCCGGGACCCGCGGCCCGCCCGGCCCGGCCCGGCCCGCTCCAGCCCAGCAAGTCACCGGAGTGCGGTACGGGCGGCCCCTGCTTACCACCAGCACGGGCACGCCTGCGGTCAGCGAGTAGAGGAGCACCGGCGGCACGGCGCTGCGGTCCTCCGGGCCCGGGTAGGGCTTGCGGTACGCGCCCTCGTAGCAGAAGAAGCCTTGCACGTTGACGGTGAAGGTGTCCGTGTACTCGAAGTAATAAGCCAGCATCACGGTCCCTGCCATGATCACCATCTGGAAGTAAAGCATGCTGGTGAGCGGAGAGGGCACTCGCATGTACGTGGGCTCCGGCGGCCGCGGCAGCCCCTCTCCCCGGCGGCGCGCTCCGCCCGCTCCCCGGCGGCATCCACCGCGGGCGGGGGCGGCTCAGCGGCGCCCGGGAGCGCGGTCAGCCCGGCGGGGAGCGCGGCCCGGGCACAGGAGGACAGCACGACAGGGCAGCGGGGGCCCGGCCCGCCGCTCCGCCAGCGGCTCCAGCGCGGGCACCGGCTCGTGCGGCGGGCGGGCGGAGCGTGGCGGCGGCAGGGGCAGCCCCGCCCCGCCCCGCCCCGGGAGCAGCGGCCGCGCCGGACCGGGCGGTGAAGGGAATTGCTCGACCCCCGTACGGCTCCCGCGGTACTGCCGGGATTAGTAAGGGAACCCTCCGCTCTTTCTCCTCCGCCTCCTGCGGGACGGGGACCACCGCGGGTCCCTCTCTGCGACGACTCGCACACCTGTAGGACGGACGGGCAGCTCCCGCAAGCGCACGCACTCCCGGCCCGGCCCGGCCCGGCCCGGCCCCGGCAGTGCCAAGAGCCACAGTTCGGACGGGCTCGGGCACGCACACCGATCGCCACTATTGGCCGGGGTGGGAAAGATCTCAACATGGAATCACAGAAGCACAGCCTCAGGTTAGGAAGGACCTCTGAGATCATTGAATCCAACTAACACCACCATGTCAACTAAACCATGGCACTAACTCCCACATCCAGTCTTTCCTTAAACACCTCCATGTATTCTTGTGTGATTCTGTGATTTTACAAGAAAATCATTCTTCACTTTTGCTCTATGGCTTGCCAGGCAGTTTCATGGCAGCAGTTTTGGAGATACATTGTAGTTGCATGTTAACAAAAGACTCCATAATAAAGTTTAAAATTAGATTCCTTAACATACACCCAACATAATAAGTTTAGTGTATTTATTTATATTAAAAAACTTGTCAACATATAGCATTTATCCTGAGCATATCTACTTGTTTGGGTGATCAGATATGTGAAATACATTTGACTTATACAATCAACTTGTGCTCTGGCTCATTTCTGGCCCCAGTAGAAGTTCCCTACAGTCCCACAACTACCCACCCTGACCCCCCAGTCCTTCCAAAACTGGGAACTGAAGTAGTCTTTTGTATATGGATAGCTATGAAAACAATTAACACTTAAAGCTTTTCTTTAACAGCTATAAAGAAAATTGGTAGCTGGCCTTGAATCTATCCTCAGTCAAGTAACATCCTAAAGTAAGAGGAGAGTCTGCACCAGTGCTGAGAGAAGTCATACACATAGGAACACAAAAGAGTTCTATTTAAAAATACATATACAGCAATACACACAAGAATTGACAGCTGTGCCCAAGGCTTGTACAGAATCACGCATGTGTGGGCTCTAGTCTGGATCCCCAGAGCCAGCAGATAAAACAGTTCCTTAAAGGCACACACTCCACCCCAAATGTTACAGGGGTGAAAAACACTCTTAATGGACACTTCAGCCATAGAGTCCACTTATCTTACATAGTAAAGGTGGTAAAAATTAACAAATGAGGTGAGATCACCCTGTTTTATAATGACTAATCATCCTTCTAGTGCTGTACTTTGGCTTTAACTGTTCCTTTTCCTCCCTTTCTTGAGAATTTTTTCAATATTCAGTGATGTTAGTCTCTGTGCATTTATTTTTAATCAGCCCTTGAAGAACACACTCATCACGTCTGGATTCCACATCCAGTCTATTTTTATGTGCTTTTAACACACTCTCCAGAAGAATCTAAATCATGTAATTCGCACTGCACTCACCAGACTTAGCTGGATAGCTCCCTACCTTTGTGAAAATTCTGTAGTGAGACATGAGACATCTTGTGGTGAATTCTGCCTAGCACAAATTCTATTTTCCCCATTTCATTAGCACTGTCTAATACACATCACCATACACATAAAAATTGTAATCCCAGAAATTGCATAGAGACACCCTCATTTTAGGATGTATGGCCTGATCCAAAGACAAAAGTCAACAGTTGGACTGCAGTGAGCACAAGACTCAGCTCTTTAGTTCTGTGTGAGTGCATGTTCCATAAAAATGCTGGTGGCATATATCTTTCAAATTTTTGCATGGAGGAAAATCAATCTTTTTCCAGAAAGCAGCTGATAAAATAGTCCTGCATTTTGTTATCACAAACCATTTATACACTTCTGTTTATAAATGTACCAATGTACCACAGTTAGCTGATCCAGAATAAGCAGAGATACCTTTTTATTATAATGAACATGATGTTTATTGCCTGCAGAGTTGAATATGCAAACATATATTAAATCAAACATATAGAAGAATAAGAACACAATCCCCAGTGACTAATGCAACCAGCTAAATATAGTCTGCAACCACAGTGATATGCATGACAGAAGAATGGCAGAGAAAAGCCCAGAACCCACAATTTTTGTTTCAGAAGGCTATTCATACATGAAATTGTCAGCTGAAACTCAGGTAACTGACAGACTTGTTTGGAAATTAACTTCCTTGGGAATAGTGCCACTGATTTCAGAGCAAGAGTTCCCCTGATGTTCCTCATAGGTTTATCTTGTTCTTTTCATTTGCTACCTAGTTTTAAGTGAATTTTTAGCTCGGCTCTACATTAGACACAATGTAGAGCGAAGCAGACCAAGAGAAACCTTAGACACACTAGTTTGCAATATTTTGAAATCATGACCTTTATTACAAAGAGGTGTTTCCAATTCCAAACCAAATTCACTAACCTTTCATGTGCCTACATCATCGCTGCTTATTGTATTTTCTAGTTATAAAACATTGCTCTGGCAAATGGCAGTAAAGAAACAGAGCCAACCCAACAAAGCCTTTTCAACAGGAAGGAAAATAAGAATTGATATCAAATCATCCCACTATTTTTATCTTATCTTTCCTGTTTACTTCTTTCATGCTTTATCAGAGTGTCAGACGCTTGAAGCCCTATGACTTTCACAGTTAGATCTCCACACTGCTACACTGAAACACTAACCCAGCCCTTTCTGAGAGGAATATTGCATCTGTGTTGATGGCACAGCAGTAGGGAAAAGACAGAATGAACAAAAAAAATCTCTACAGATATTTTTAAGAGACAACTAAAAGGACATTTTAATTGATACAGTAAATTGTTTAATGATAAACTGTGATCTAAGTCCTAAAACCCAGGACATTTACTGCTAAAATTTATACTTGTAGGACCATGATAATGCAAGATAAAAAAATTTCCTAGCAGCTGGAGCAGCATCATCCCAGAATCAGAAATGAGGGCTCGCCCAGAACACTTCCAGTTTGATTCAAACAAGTAAGGCACAAAATTTAAGTTTTTCCTATGGTCTTAGCATACAGTTTACAGAGACAACTCCATTATGTGACTAAGCTCTACTACATTAGGGCAATATGAATCATCTTCTGAAAATGTCATTCATTGCATCCTAAGAAATACCAGCCTCTTATGATAGCACTTGTAAGAGTAATGACATGAGCTTTGATGACTAGCTTAGACTAGCACCCTTCTTCTAAAGAGCTGTAGTGAGATGTCATCAATTCTACTCTTAACTTTCACTGACACATAGATAAACTAGCTCCAAAATAGGAATTGTACTTTCCAAGACTCAAACAGGAAGAAAAATGGTCAAATTAGTAGCAGCATAAGCATTACTATTGTATTTATAGTGCAGTATTTTGTAGAACTGGACCATATTTTTCATAGAAGACAACATTTTGCCCAGTAAGCTTGGGTATGATGCAGTGCAAGTAATATGAGAGAGTGAGCAGATGGAGATGAAACAAATGAGGAGGAGGACAAGGCAGCAATGAAATGATTGAGTTTGATATAATGAGCAGCAGTCACGGCGCATTAGTTGCCTAGTCAGTATTTACATCAGTAATATAATTAATCTTTTTTAAACTGTTTTCTGTATTCAAATTAAGAAGTATAGTTCTTCATAGGTTATAACTGAGTCTTGGGATACCAGTGGGACACCATGTACCTAAGGCCTGTACATTCTCAGAATTAAAGCCTGTGTTAGCATATCTACCACTATTTATAATAAAAAACCACACACAAAATTTTTCATTTCACAGTGTGAAAGGAAATAAATCACTGGTACTTGAAAGCTCAAATAATAATTGTTTAATCTTTCCTAAGATAAATTTAGGAAAAAGCCTACCACTCAGAAAAGTACAACCACAGCTACACATTTATTTTCATTGATAGACACATTTTTGGTAACTGCAATGCTACACAAACTGACTGTAAACTTGGCAATTTTTGGCATAATTGGCTCAATAAAAATCATATGACTAGCCTCAGAATATGTAAATAAGCTACCTCATCTCATTCACCCAGAATTCTTGTCATTTCTTGTAATGAAAAAAGCCACCTCCCAAGGTAATCAATGATCCCTTGAAAGATTGACATAGCAGATTACTGCACAGTATTTGACATAGCACTAGCCTATTCATGATGCAGTATTCAAGTGGGGAAAAAGAAAAATCACACAGACCTACCCTGTGTAGGACACTCGTATGTATTAGTACAGCTGGTTTTGTACATAAACTAAAATTAGTTCAGACATTTGAACAATGCCTGAAGGTTCTACAGACCAGTTCAAAAACTCTCTTTATATATTACTGAATTAATTTCACTCATTTGGATATGACAGTTTTCTGCACTGTAGTTTGCCTTCTCCTTTGTACATTTTTATTATAAGTAATCAGCATAATTAAGATAATTTATTGACTAAGGATCCGTACTGCCATTAAGGGGGATACACTGAAAGTAATTGTTTGCCCACTCCTCAAGGTTCTATGTTGTCAGTTTAAAGCTCTCATCAAGCTGAAAATCTGAACTGTGAAGGAAGGAAATGGTGAGCTCAAGACCTTTTTGGGGTACCTTATGCTCTCACCCCCACTTTAAGTGCCTATGGGAAATGAACCCTAGAAGTCCCCAGTGTTTTTACAGATAATATAGACATTGCTCAAGGATCTATGAACAACAGCTGAAGTTAGCAGGGAGATGGAGATGAATTTCTGTTTTAACTGAAGGAGACCTTGTTCATTTGCAGGAAAACTTGTGCGATGAATCGGTGCTTATCTACTCACAGGCTGTTTTAGTGGCCAGCGTTGCTGGTTGGTACCTGGATGAACCCACCCTCTCATTTTTAACTTCCACACTTTAACAAAATTATGACTAATTTTTAGCTTTGCATTCTTGCTATCACTATCTTTTGCTAATTCCAGGACTGAAGAATAAAATATTTTGCAATACTAAGGAGGGGAGCCGTAAAACCATCCGAAAGTGTGTACAGAAATTAGACTGTCACTTTGGCATGGGACTCTGCATGGAACTGTGAGGTCTTCCTTTCATGTCTGATGATTCCCCAGTGGCAGTTACAGAGTAAAACTTGCAGAGTTCCCTCTTTTCTTACCCCAGCTTGGCCCCTAGCAGTTGTATCCTGGACAGGGAAGGTATACAAGATCTCACTTTCAAGCACAAGGCTGGATGTAAGATTAAATTAACCCACATATTGGCTTTCTTTCAGAAGGGAAGGACAAATGGACTAATATAATAAATTATGCACCAAAGTCACAGAATGCTTCCAGCTCTGGTTGTAGTTTAATGTATGCAGCTCATGCTGGCAGGAGTCCCACACTTCCTCTGTTTCTGCCTGGTAAGCTCACACACAGTTGTGCCATAGGACTTAAGTTCTTACAAATTATACCAGACATTTCTCATTAGCACTACACCTGAAATCCCATTCCTGAGCTGGACATTATCCATTACTTCATAAAATTACAATCAAAAGCATAAAAAGAGCAAGTTCAGGATATATAGGCAGTGGTTCAATGGAGAAAAGGGAAAAAAAACCCCAGCCCACAGAATTTACCAAACAGAATTACAAACAGTATCCAGGTAATTGTTGAAGAAAACTAGATATAGTGCTAATTATTTTCTTAGATTACTTTTAAAAATTTAAATATTAAAAATACTTTAGTCCAGTTCATCATATTCATCAGACCTGCTCTTTGGTACCTTCCTGTATCCCCCCTCCACATTCATGATCCATGGAGATCCAAGAAATGTGTGTCTTACATTTCATTTGACACCAAGCCATTCACAAGACATTCATGTTACATTCATGTTTTCACACACGTGCCTCTGAAAAATGCCCTTTCTTTCTAGTTCATGAGGATGCAGCAAAGCCAGAAAACTCAAGAAAGCGGAAAACCCAAGTGACAAAAGTCAGCTACAAAGACACAAAGCATTTGTAAGCCCTGGGGTTCTGCCATGAATGACACAATCACCAGGCCACTGAGGATACACCTCACAGGAATTTCCTGCACTGGTTTGTTTCCTAAAGCCAGACTTTTCATACTCCCTGCAGGACAGACACCTCTGCACTTTAAGAAACCTTCTGCAGATATCCCCTCTACACTGTCCTTTTGGCTACAAGGCTAAGCTCAGAGCAAGACTAAAAAGACAAACATTTTTAAGGCATAGGCATGCTCACACTGAAAGCTGTGTGTTTCTCCAAATGACTGGATTCCTACAAAACAATTTCTGCAGAAAGCATTTGTTTACATCAATCATTATTCAGATACTTTCCTCCTATCAAGGTGTTTCTGTCCTTGCAGATATATTCAAAACTTCATTTACAAGGCTCTGAGCAGTGAGGTCAGAAAAGTGAGGTCAGCCCTGCTTTGAACCTAAAATTTTCTGTGGTTCTGGGAATTACATTTGATTTACTCCAACCCAGCAATTTGCTGTCTTTAATCTTAATTGCTACAATCTGTTCTAATGGTGGTTCACAGAAATTATTGCAATTCTTGATATTGTAAATACTTGATTATTGTAATTCATATCTAAGAATAAAATAATATTTCCTGTAAATTGCTTAATTGATACAAATTGAAGCTGCCCATCCACTTACCTAAAGTGGTAACAAGAAAGATATCTCTTAATTTTGCACTTTCTAAAGAGACAGTACTCTGTGTGTATATATCTATATATTTGTATGTATGTATGTGCTCCAGTAAGGTGCTACATAATACCTGTTACAGAATTCGTTTTTAAAAACATAATTTAAGAGATTATGCCTTTGACCTACTTATAATTTCTCATCATAATTACCTTCCAGGCAAAAACTCTATTGTCAAGCTGTCAAGCATTAGCCAAAGACTAATGAAGGCAGCAAGGAAGTAACTAAAGCATCAAGAAGTTACTTCTGAGAGAAGGCAGCAGCCTTTGCAGCTTTCAGAAGTGAAGTCTGAACTGAAAGTAACAGTTGGAAAACTAAAGAGACGTAATAACAATAATAAAATAATAAGTTAAACCAGCTTTTGAAGACTCTTTGTGGTAACTTAACACTGTGAATTATTAATAGCCAAAGCTTTCAAGCCCTGTTAAATTAACTCACATAAGATTGCTCTCCTCATTTAAAAATATTCTGTTTAACGAATTGTTAGGCTAAAGGATAAGAAAATTATTAGATTAGAATATGTCTACCACTGATATAACAGGGAACACTGTCAAATTATTATGTAACAAAACATATGCTTGCTTGGTTAATACACAACTCTTTACTTTATTCACTGCTGCTGAAAATCCTTCCTCATTCAGTGCCTTACTCATCCAGCTGGCCAGCTTAACTACAGACAACTGACTGGACTAAAAGAAAGAAATGGCAAGTGATCATGTGGGAAAAATTATTAGAAAAAGAAAGGTGGAGAGCAAGGGATTTGTGCACGGGTACACTTGCAAAGTTGGCAAGAACATCAGAAGCTGAAATTACAGGTTTCTTGTGGGAAAATGCACTAAGTGGGGACTTCTGGAGGCTCCTGCCAGAGCAAAAGAATTAGGAGGCAGCAGCTCAACAGCTCATGCAGGCAGCTGATGACCAATGTGGCAGCAGGACAGTGTGAGGAGAGTTTGAGTCTGCACAGGCTGCCTGGCTCTGCACAGGCCTATGGTGATTGAGGGAGAAGAAGTTGAATCACTGGGACAGAACCAAGGAACATGAAATGTCTTCAGGATTTATTTTGGACAAAGATTAAACAATATCTACCAGAACTAAAATTCATATATCATTTTTGTTATGACTGCCTAATGAGTACTTTTATGCCCTTAAAGCATCATGCAGTTTTTACACTCTTCATATTGCCAGAAACTATCATTTTTAGAGGCAAATAAGGCTCATTTCCTTTGAAGTGACTGCTATGTGGTAAAGCTGTAAATGTGGTACACAAGTAGCTCTGAAATAGAAAGGCATTAAAATATTATTAGTGTTTGGTCTTTCTTCCACCTCCTATAGGAATTTTGCTGATTTAGAAAAATTAAAATCACTAGGAGACCTCAGAACAGAACATAAGGACTGCAGAATCCTATTTTCCCTAAGCTGGCACAAAAATTGACTTCGGGAAATTGAGTGGACAGTTGCTAAAAAGATACAACTACCTTAGGTCACATAATTTTTATGGCTTCAAAATTTTCTTCATATAGCAATGCCAATACCGAACATGCCGAATGCTGCTTCTACGGTGACTAGACAGCATCCAAATTGGATTTAAGTAAATTATTTAGCTTATTAGGCGTCCTAATATCCAGTATTTAATTCCATTAGAGCAATTAAACTTTCTGCTAGCAAAAACAAAAAAAGGAAAAGTAAACTCTTAGAAATGAGAAAAATATCAGCTTTTTCCTAGCTCACCTTGACATTTATTACTCAGCCCAAGTCAATAGTAAGCTTAGGGAAAGCCAGGAATGTTGTATTATATACAACTTTAAACAATGCATATCATCCTGACAGGTTTTAATCATGCACTCTCCAGTTTATATCTCAATTTACAATAACATTGCAACTAGCAGCTCCAGAAATAAGGATAATGTAAATAGGGATATAGAGCAGATTTTATCATATAATCTACCCCAAAGATAGAAAAAATCTTGGATGGAGATCTTTTCATTGCTGTTGAGACACAGCAATTTAATTCTGCACACATAACTGAATCTCACTAGTTTTATGCTATGAATAGATACTTCTACACAATCTTTTCATTTCATTTTCCAAGAAAAATACCACCAGTGTGGATGTTTTAAAGAACTATAGAGTAATAAAGCTTTTAAACTAATTGGGGTAGTTATACTATGTGAGTTCTTAGAAAAGACTTCCACTGTCTAAAAATATTCCTTAAGCACACTAAAAATAACCCCCCAAAAAAAGAAAGTTCAACTACATGTTCATGTCCTACAGGTACACCAATCACTGTGCCCTCCCTCCTAGAGGAGCAGGAACAGTGAACCACAGTGCATCCACTGGGTACCAGGGATTTTCTTCTCCCTGCATTTCGGAGGGCTGAAAAAGTCATTACATTACAGAGAAGAGCAAAAAGCTTGCTCAGGCTTCGAGACAATTCCAGTAAAAAACCATTTATGAATTAGTTTCCATCAGAGCATAGCTGACTTGGATCCTACTGTCCTTGACACTTTCTCTTCTCGCCTTTTTGCACTTTGATCTATTTCTTATAAATAAAAGAGGCGCTGTGAAAAGCAGGGGAGACGGTACCTGCTTCTTGTACAGGTTACCCCAATCAGTCAGTGCCAGCAGGGGAGGATGAGCAGAGAGGGGGACGTGGCCCTTCCTGCACTGCCTGGGGTGACCAACACAGCCCTTGCACACAGAACAGTTCAGACTTCTGGGTCTCTGTTATACAAGTTTTAAACAGCCTGCTAAGGTGCAAATGCTTACTAAGGTGTTAGCTAAGCTCAGAAATTGATTGGGAAGACCACAAATAAAGAACATTTATTGAATTACTGTGCCTTATCCATTTCAAAGCAGCAGAAGCTTTCCAATGCCTGCCTTGTCAGTAGAAGACATTGAAAACTTTCATTAGCACTGTTAGTGCTTTTCATTAGCATCAACTTGGTCTCTCTCAGTTGCCTTGCTCTCAGTGAATGATTAATGTTGAAATGCTCTTCTCTTTGAATGTTTATCATCCAGTTAGATATGGCTGGAAGTTTAATTTCTCAGGGCATTGTCAAATAAAATGTGTTGCTGTTCTTGAAAGTTAAATACTACACAGATTACCAGAGCCTCCCCTGTTTCTAGCAGCAGGTTATTCCTTTCTAGCAGTGACAGGACAGATCTGTATTATAGCACATATATTTTTCATTATAAAGAATTTCTAAAATGAATAATAGAAATTAGAAACTGAAAAGAATTGTGAAGGAATTGCTTCCATGAAAGGCAATTTCAATCCAAAAGTCCCTTAGAGGACCAACACAGTAAATGTAGGCTTATTAATATATGGCAATAAGTTTCACAAAGATCAGAATCTGGGTTGGTAAACTTGGCTATGTTGACAAAAGAAAATAAGAATCTACTTGAATGGGAAACTCTGACACAATTTCCTTCCATGGTCCTTGACAGACAATTGATACACCAAATTCAGCAAGATTTTAAAACAATCAATGATTTTTTTTTTCCTGTTTGTGGAATGGCATTAAGAGGATAGTCAGTCACAAGAGCTGTCTTGTAAAACGATCTCTATAACATCCTGGACAAATGTAATGACAAAGACTGCCTAAGCAATTCACATCCTAGTTCAAAACTCATCGTGACATCATCAGAGTTTTTGATCCCCTAATGCTATTAGATGTGGTGACACAGAGGCCATGAGTCTTGCTGTTGTCTCAGTGTGACATTGCACAGGCAAGAAAAGCCAGTGGATGTGCAGTGATTTGTGTCACAATGGATCACAAACATCACTTGAAAACAGTGAACATAAATTGCCAAGTAACAAAACTTGCTGAAATTATGTGACAGAAATAATGCCAGACAATGAAGCAATTTTCTATCCACAGAGAAATTACTTCCAGAATGTGCTGATAAAAAAACCTTGAACACCTTAATTCAAAAGGCAAAAAGGCTCCATGACACTATTGAGGATGAGAATTTCTCCAGGAAAGGTCATTTAAGTCATAATGTTTACACCATAAAGAACTTCTGCTTGACATGCTGCTATATTCTCCCTCAATGTATGACATCCCCCACTCTCCATTTATCAGATACCTCTAAATGTATCACAGAAGGATCTGTGCATCCCACAGGAACCAAAGCACTGCTCTCTCAGTACCAGTATGAGGTAAGGAGATTGGTACCAAGATGCAGAGTCTAGGAATTAGACTCACGGGGAAATCTTAAAACTTTTCAATTTTTACTTTACAAGTTTTACTTACTCTCAAGTTTTACTTCTCAAGTGGTGCTTGTCTAACCCTAAGAACCACTGAAATCCCTAGAACAGATGATGGCCGGAAATGCAGGGATAACAATGTCTAATTGCCTCTGCAGAAAGGCCCAAGAGGGTGCATGAGTCTGTGGCTGAGCAGAAAATTGAATGCAAATGCCCCACTCTCACTCAGCCTAACAGATGTTTATCTGAAGAGGTTTCACTCTTATCTGCAGTCCACAGAATCCAATGATACCAGTGTGCACATGCAAGTCAGGAAAGACTGCTGAAAATACAGCTTAATCATTTCCCTCAGGCTCCCTCAAACCAAGTCAGCTGGCAACCGAAGAACCATCAGTATTTTTTTTTATAATTAGCATGCACTAAAGGATAAGAGAAATTTTGATGGAATTTTTGTGTGGGACCCAAATGTTTTGGACACAGAAGTGGCTTAAAATAAACAGGAACAAAACCTCTGCCAATATAAATAAGCACAACTCTTCTAAACTGAGTTACCCTGTAGAACCTGGCTATGGAGAGTTACATTCTCCTTCATAGCAATATTTTATTGGAGTCTACAAGATGTGCAACTCAAATTCTTATTCAAACTCTCTTATTCTTATTCAAACTGTTAAAGTGATTTAAGAACAAAAATAATAGCAGACTTAGAGAGTATTATTAAGATTTAATCATCAAAATTTTGGGTCCAGGTCAGAGGTACTTCACTTCCCTGTATTCTGGCACTTCAGAACATCACAATCACTTAAAATTTAATTGCAGGCATAGGGACTCCATTCCCTCTCATGAAAGAATATTATAGGGACAGGAATTTTGTTCCCAGCTGCCAGAAGTGATTGCTAGCAGAGAGCACCCCATGAACATAAACATATTGATAGTTGCTGAGAGTGTTTTATTAAGAAATACACCCAAGAACTTAGCAATGTATTTACTATATTTACCTACCTCAACTAATATGGAGCATGGCAGCATCACGTGGCTTCTCTGAGGCTGACACCTGCTGCACAAAATCATGTTCACCTGGGAAGGAAAGACAGGATATTGTGTCCATCTGTCAGAAGCTGGCCTTGTTTATAATAATGT